GGGGGGTTGTTAGCGGCCATCCTGTAACACTATAGACTTGAAATGGTTTTGTGTTGCATTGTTTTTCTAAGGGTCTGGGCTATGATGCTTTCTTAGAGTACCACATGTGTGGCAGCTGTTTACCATTAAACATGAACTATACTAGAGCCTGGTCTTCTGTGGCCTGCATGCCATATCCAACTTCTCTCAGAACTGTGATGATTAACCTCTCCCACTAGAAATCAGTGTTGCTGCAAGTCTTAACACCACAGTAGATTACAGCCCATACTTGAACTTTATAGAAACATTTGTTTTGGCTTTACAGGTACTGCTTCTCTTTTTTTGGGGCTGTGTGAAAATGTAAGGGAATGGTGGTGAAAGTCTTTCACACATAGAGTATACTGCAGTGAGCAGGCCAACATCTTTTGGGGGAAAGGGCTGTGTATCTACAAACTTCTTTACAGTTGTCAGTGGCTTTATTTCTTCTTCTTTGGGGTATCAACTGGATAAATTATATCATTTACCTTGTGGCATACATACTTACATACTTTTGTCCCCAAACTGTCAAAATCAGAAAGTGCTATTATGCAATTTTGACTTTTTTTAACACATATTTCTCAAACAAATTACTACAATCATTACAACTCATGAACCAAAATGTCTTAGCTTTGTCAAAATGTGTGAATTTGCTCGGCTGAGGATTTGAACTGTCATCAAATCAGAATTTTAAGCCATTAAAATTCAACCAAAATAGAAAATACAAACACCAAAAATATGATCCAAATTTTTCTACCTTTTACCTAAATCATACCCTAACAGAAAACCTGTGTGTGCTCTATCAATAGAAAGACGGTAATGATTGTATGTCAGATTACTTCTCATGATAATTGTGGGTCAATTCTTTATAAAGCCTCTAACATGGACAGAAGACTGAAAATCATTTGGCTGAAGTACTCACGTGTCACTCTGACACATTATCTTTTTATTACATTTTTTAAATGATAGTCAATAGCTTGAACGTAGATTTTTTAAATGTTGCTTGATTGTATGAAAGTCTTTACTATTAATTCAATTCAGCTTCCCATAGTCGTAGCTATTCAAATTAACCCTTATCTTGATTGATTTAACATGGATTTAATTTCTCTCCCCACTCTTTTATTTTAGCTTGAATTTATATGTGCTGTTTTGTAATTAAAGTAATTCAAATGTAACATTTACATAGACATTATAGGAGGATTCTCCTGAACATACTGTGCTTGTATAGAGAAATGTAGATAAAAGTGTACATTAATTGTAGATTTAAATTGTAAAAGGTTACCCGAGGATTGCACATGTAAAGATGTTGTAACCATGTTCTTATAAAACCTGACGACCAAACTAACAATACTGCTCTAGTTCCTTATATACACATTCACAACTGGAAGATGTAAAGGACCACATTTTTTCTTCTACACACTTGAGGAAATTGAATAGTTCCTTTGTTTACAATTGCTGTTGTCTTCTCTTGATATGGCTGTTTCTCTCATGATTTCACATTGGAGTGCACACACACCACACACACACAAGTGAATTATAGTTGTAGTTTTATTTTGCATGGATTTTTTTCAATAAAAAATTAAATCAGTGGTTGCTTGCTTGTGATTTTATCATGAATATCCAAATATGTAATCTATGAAATGTTATCCAAGCCTCTAGGAAAGCTGTATAAGTAGATGGTTTTTATTGTTTAAAATTCTTGTTTAACCAGGGGATTAGCTGCCTGGGAACTACACATTTTTAAAACCTGCCCAGAGGGATGTGATGCACACATACTGAACAATCCTCAGTCTTCTTCACCGACTGACCGTGATTGTTTGTGCTGGAGCCAATCTCAAACAAGATTCCCTTATCCACTGTCTAGCTTCCTTCAGGCCAATGCCTCCCTAGACAATCATAGAACTTTTTTCAGGACGCCTGCCATCTTTAACTGATGACAATGCTGACACCTTGAGGTCAAACAGTGATTTGCTCTCCTGCAAAACATCTTGACAGAAAGTTACTTTGCAGATGATGAGTTCATGAACCCTGTGACTAACCTGGTTCCAGAGGTATGCTATTAGTGAAGGAAGGATGGATGGATGGATTGATAAAAATTCTATGCATTATTATAAATTAAACTGCAGTGCCTGAAGGTATTAGAAGTAGCGCTGCCTTAACCTGTTGCAACATTTTAAGGTTGCTTGTTGATGTTGATAACAATCCAATCATACAGTAATTATAGTGCATAATAAATCATTTAGTTTTGCCACATCATTGACAAAATGGGTGTTGTGTATACATGAAGAAGCAGCAAAAAAATCAGGTTATAGCCTTATAATTGATATATGTAGTAATTATATTGCCTTTTTCAATATGGGGGGGACACATCCAGGTCTTACATCCACTGGTGATCTCTGATATACCGATAGTTTGCAATTTATCATCAAAGTAGTGTTAAAGACTTAAAAAAACACATATATATTTACCATCTTGACCTATGCTCCAAAATATGATACAACCAAAAAAAAGCTGAATAGAAATATTAAAAAATACAGCATATACAATGATAAAGTTGTCATTTTGAGCAAGCAGCGCAGAGTTATTCACCCTATGGTGATCAGGGTTAGGGTTGAAACTAGGGTTAGGGTTAGGGTTGTGATGAGGATTAGGGTTAGGGTTGCAATTAGGTTTAGGGTTAGGGATGAAAACCTTTTGGAGATGATCCATTGGTACCATCCCCGAGCGTCTACGACCTCCGCAAGGGGTCAAACCACCACATCGCGAAGAAAAAGTACGAGCTATTTCTCAATAACTTTTTGTCTGAACGTCGTAGCGACTCGGG